CCACTGAAAATTCGCCGCGACATCTCACTTTTATCACTATTTCACAAACTCATCCACACCAGCATGATGCCATCTGTTCACCTTAATCTAGCACATCGAGCTTCGAGCAGACTACATAACACCTTTAGCTTATCACGCATGTATGGCAATACTAACGCTTTCAACCAGTCGGCTTTTCCACGAGCTATTCGTTTGTGGAACGATTTGCCAGATGATCTTGCGTCAGAACAAGACCACACAAACTTCTATCATGCACCAAAACCTGCTCTATATTATGCACCAAAAACTGCTCTATCGCATCTTCGTAGCCATAAGTGTTTATAGGACTGTTGCCAATGTTTTTGCACTATTGCTAGGTTGTAGTTACTGTCATAATAGCTTTTTTGTATTACCTCCACATACTGTGACTCACTTTTCTAGTATGTATTTTGCTTACATGTTCATAGGTTGAACTGTATTTTCTATTATATTCATTATTTGCCAATGTATGTGTAGATATTATGTATATACATTTTGCTAACATATTATCTGTACTGCCCCCCTTACACAATGCCCCTCGAGGGCTCTGTAAGGTACTGTAAATAAAACTAACGAGAGGTTTTCGAGACCCCTCTTCTGTAGACCTATTCCATGTTTGTAAACAGCGGTAGGTGCAATCGAGAAACTAGGGTTTCTGTAGCGACATCTAGGCCAAAGCTCGCCAATGCCATCTACGATCCAGTGACAACTAGCGCTGCACCTGTTAAGCTGACTCGCGTGTGCACGCGGCCGGCTCCCCGATGTCACCAAATGTGGCGTAGTATGTCGATGGCGCGTACTATGGTTTACAAAAGAGGAATAGCTATATACACACCCCACCAGCAACGCTCATTGGGAGTCTTCGCTGGTTACCTATTGCTCTTCTGTAGTAGAATGAATTGTAAGGTTATTAAGGCGATGGCGTTCCAGACACTGTGATCAGGCTCAACTCAGTCTTTAAGGTATCAGGCAAAATATACTTGTTCATTTAACTGCGCTCGAAAGCGCTCTGCTGTCACTAGAGCGTCCCCGCGTCTCTCCTCTCCCGCTCTTCTGTTTCTCGTTTCCTTGTCCCAGCCTGGAACGTGAAAAATAATCAACATTCCTGGCCGGGCAAAGCTAAACACATAGTTCAAGTGGGTACAGTCTTTGTATCAGCCTGATCGCAAGGTGACCGCCTTGCCGCTTGATCTTGTAAGAACGAATGAGACCGTCGGCACTGCGGTACACTTCTGTGACCCTTGCAAGTTTGCATAGCTGGCGTGGCGTGTTGTCCGCATGCACGAGAACGATGTCCTCTTGCTTCAATGCTGTTTTGATTTCGTGTCGCCAAAGTGTGCAGATCGTAATTGCAACAGGTATCATTTTGCCAACGCTTTCAAAAACTTTTATTCAGCAGCTTCCTGTAGTTGTGTCTGCGTATGGCGTCTGCTCGCTTGGAGTTACTGCTGACTTCGTCAGCGGTCGCATACGGTATGGAAGTCAACCTTCGTCCAACGAGAAGTTCAGCTTGTGTCAAAGTGCAAGGTTCTCCTGCCTCTGTCTCGATGAAAGTGAGAGGCCTAGAGTTTAAAACTGCTTCGACCTCCGCCACCACTGTCGATATTTCTTCGTAGTTCAGACGAGCTTTGCCGATGATTTTTTGCAGCGGAAGCTTCACTGATCGTACAAGGCGCTCCCACCATCCACCCCACCAAGGAGCATTTAGTGCAATAAACTTCCACGAAATGCCATTGGTGCTGAGGTGATCAGTGACGTCCTCTTCAGAGAACATTCGGTATAGTCGCTTTATGTCTGCCGATGTCTTGTGAAAGCTTTGTGTGTTGTCAGAGTAGATCACCCTAGGTAAACCTCTCCGAGCTGGAAATTGTCGTAGGCTCAGCAGGAAAGCTTCGGATGTCGTTTCCGAGACAAGCTAGAGATGCACGGCTCAAGATACGGCGCACGTAAAAAGTGCAACGTAGCACTTCGTGTCCCCTTTGTACGTGTGTGCATACAGACGGCTCGCGATGTCGACTTCTACAACTTTGAACGGGTTCGTTGGTGACACTCGATGACTTGTTAACGGAGAAGTCTCAGCACTTCCTGGGCCCGCACTGAAACGTTTGCATATATTGCAGCCATGCAGCACTCTTTTTACCAAAGAGCGAGCTCGACAAATCCAGTTGCGTTCCCGTAGCTGCGTTAGTGTATCTATAACTCCTCCATGTAGGACTTGAAGATGGGCTCCGTTTGCCAAAAGTGCCGAAAAGTGGTGGCCTGACGACATTATGATTTGATGCTTGACCTCTTGTGTGGAATACATGAGGTATAAACGGCCTCCAACCCAAAGAATTCCGTCTTTGTCTATGTAAGGGCTGTGTTCAGTGATCCGAGATGTAGACTTGAATGGTTGGCCTTTGGTCAAAGCGGTGAGTTCTTCAAGAAAACCTTGCCTTTGAGTACATCTTATCTAATACTGTTCAACGTTCAGGATTTCTGTTGCCACGAGATGTTCCATGTGATCCGTCCTTTTTCTGCATCGGTCAGTAAATCTGAAAACCCACGCAGTGACTTTGAGTAGTAGCTGAAGCCTGCTGTACCGTTGAATATCGATTATAGGAACTGAGAAGCGTGTCATTAGTGCGACGTGGACTGTTGTAACTTCACCTTTGGTGACTTGCGTTATGTCTAGTTCACTGAGCTGTAGGGGCCATTCAGACATCGGTTTAGTTAGCCACTCGGGACAATGGCACCATTCTGAGCTGTGCAGCAGTCTTTCAAGCGTCTCGCCTTGCTGAGTACGTCAGCCGGGTATTCCGTTTCAGGACAGTACCTCCACTTTGATGAATCTGAAGTGCACCTAATTTCATTGACTGTGCTGGCTACTAACTGTTTTCGCTTTTTGGCATCACCTTTTATCCACGACAACACAATGGCGGAATTAGTCCACATTGTGTAGTCCACTTGAACATTCCTGAAAGCGCTTTTCACGTATGCCAACATTCTTGAGCCGATTAGGGCAGCCAACAGCTCCAATCGCGGTAGCGTTGTCTCCTTAATGGGTGCTACACGGGACTTCGCAATCAACAGTGCTGGCTTCTCAGGACTTGACATGACGTATATCGCTGTTCCGTATGACGCTGGGCTGGCATCGCAGAAAACATGCACTTGAAGCACATTGGGCTTCCTTGCTACGCCGTCCAGATAGCGAGAAACGAAGACGTCTTGCAGTTGCGGCAGCTGGATGACCCAATCATCCCATTCTTTTTGCAGGTCATTGGGTAGTACTTCATCCCAGCCAATCCCTCTTATCCACAGCTTCTGAAACAATATTCGTATGGCAAGAGTATATGGTCCTACAAATCCCAACGGGTCAAATATTCTTGATGCTGACTGCAAAACAAATCGTTTTGTGTCCGTCTGTTCAGTGAAAAACCGGAGTAGATTTTCAGCCAAAAACTTGAATTTATTCTTTGCAGCATTCCAAACCAAACCCAGGACCTTGACCGATGTTTCATGAAGAACGACCATCTCATTACTAGTAGATTCTACTTGATTTTCTAGCGCTCGCGTTGAATTTCCTGAATTCGTTGTCCATTTCCGCAACGTTATGCCGGCTGATTTCATTATTGTGCGCGCTTCTCGGCAACGTTTAGCGGCTTCCTCTTCTGTGTCAGCACCAGTGACTAAGTCATCCACGTAAAACGACTCGGCAAGAGCTTGCGCTGTTTGTGCCATGGCAGCCCGTGCTCTTTTCACGTGGTAGAGAATAGTAGCTGTGAGCGAAATGGTCTACATGTAGCTCCAAAAGGCACTCTTGTCATTTTCCACTCTTGTAGCTTGCCCTTGGATAAATCTCCTTCTGCAAACCAGAGAAAGCGGAAAGCGTTTCTGTCGTCTTCCCGAATCGCAATCTGAAGGAATGCCATTTCTATGTCCGCGATAACTGCCACCGGGTGGGTTCTGAAGCGTAGCAGAATTTGCACGAGGTCTTGGTATAAGTTATCACTTTTTTCAAGGCAGTCATCAAGGGACTTGCATCCTTTGGCATGTGACGAAGCGTCAAACACCACTCTCATTTTCGTCGTCAGCGCTTGTTCACGCATGACTTCCGTGTGCGGAATGTAATATAACTTCGTCACCTCTGCAAGTACATCACTGAGTATTTCGGCGTGTCCTGCCCTCAAGTGCTCTCCTATGGTACAGTCATACATTTCGAGCAGTCCTTTCCTGGAGTCGAGACAGTTGACAAGCTTGTCCAGTCGAGTAACGGCGACTTGCTTGTTGCTTGCAAGCTCGAAATTATTCTTCCAAGGAAGTGCGACTTTATATCTTCCGTTTATAAAACTAATTGTTTGCTTAAAATGCTTCATAGTGTCGCTCATTTCAGGTGGCTTGTTTATTGTGTTCGTAATTCCTATGTTTTCAAGTTCCCAAAAGGAGCGCAAAATCTCGTCGGAATTGGTAGCTTGGGCTTTTAGAACGCACACCATCATTTGTGAAGTAGTTGTTCGGGACACCAAGTGCGATGTGCTTCCCTGGAAGGTCCATGCAATCTTTGAGTTCTGTGCGATCAATGAATCGTTGCCTTCGCACCGTGAAACTTCACCGGTCAACAGTTTCCACATCTGATCGGCCCCGATAATGTTCTTTGTGTCTTCTCAGGTTTCTCTTCTGTATAACACCGCATGAGCTCCAGCGTGAACGCCTCCACCAGTTCAAGCGTTACAAACCGCTGCTTCGCATGTACACATGGTTCTTTTTAGCGGGAGATGGTGTATATTTCTTTACTCTTGTTCTATTGTTGTACCTTGACTCTAGTCTGCCGTAGTAGACTACTGCTATGGTGATTGGATTCTGAGCCAAATCTCGCGGGTTTGATCCTCGCTTTGGCGGCTACATTTAGGTGGAGGTGAAGTGGTACAGTTCTGTGTGCTGTCCGCTGTCAATGCACTCTGAACAACAACACCAGGTGATTAAAATTGACGGTGGCCTTCACTATGGCGTGTCTAATATTTTTGTCAGATGTTTGGCAAGGTAAGTTCTGGAAATATTTTTAATACCTACTTCCTCAGTAGGGAAGGAATTCCAGTGTGACATGACTAACGTTCCTGTTCTTCCTTTACATTTGGCTATTCCTCTCTTCTCTTCAGATGCGTTTGTTTATTTTTCAAACACGTTACATATGCGGCATAGGTACGCTACAATTGGGAGGTATGAGCTTGTGGCCGTAGTTTTACATTAGACACTGCGCTCACTGTTTTTCAGGTGTCGTGTACGACCAGTCGTGGTCATCGGAAGAAGCGAAGCAGCTTTCACAAGCACTGGACCGGGCTAATATAAATGCAAGCGACGTCAGAGAAGATCTGTCCCAACATGGAGAAAGCGGTGGCACTCAAGCTCCGCCGAGCACCCCGCACTTGAGTCTGGCGGGCGTGAGACTAGAGCCAGAGGACATCTTCCGCTCTTCCAAGAAAGGTGAGAAGTCTTATAAGCTAAGGCGTGGACCTACTTAACGGCTATGCATAAGAAGTCCTAATTGCGAATTTAAACATGAAGGGGATAACGATTGCTAATGTTGAGGATCAAAATAATTTCAGACTTACAAAGTTTTCAGCAAGAGGTTGAGGACGCGACAACATAAGAGAGCGAAAAACGTTGAAGTTATATCTACGAGGGCATCAAGGTGATCTGAGTTTGACGGGGAGTTATGCTCATTGTTTCTGTAACAGATTCACTGTGAAGTTGTCTAGCAATTATCTGCGCGGTAATGTTTGTTGAATGCAGACAACATGTCATCGCTGCTGACAGTATTCTACACCCGACTTATATATCACGGTCACCTAAGAATATTACCTCAAGTTGATCTCACATGGCAAAGAAAACCTATGTTTACTTAAGTACAGTGACTAAACACGACTGCAACGTGAAACCTATCTTACTTTTGCTCTCCGCCAGTGCATTTATGCTGCCCAGCCACCCTTACAAACCCTTCTGAACCTAACGTGACTTTACATTGCCTCTGAGATGAAAGGCACCCCTGCTAGTTTTGCATTGCCTCCGTGATTGGACCACCTAGAGCAAGCTATCATGCGATATGATGACGTCTTAATTTCACGTTGCGTGGTCTGACGTCAATGTGAGACCACGATGACGTCATAATGACACCACAAAATTCTGCAACCTGGGTCGCCTACTCTTGATGATGATTTTTTTGTCACTCGTACTCGATAAAGCGGGTTGCGAGATGCCGCCATCGCAGGACGGTGACGGTCAAAATTCGCACTCTATAAGGCGGTGTTTGACACCCGCAACGTATATTGTTGTGACCCGTGGCTTCACAAAAAATGAATTGTGTTATTGTTCAAGGGATGTTGCAATATTTACTGGCTTATTTCAGATAATAGCCCTTTGCTTTGGTAAGCTGCAGATATGGGTCTTGTCCGAAGCATTTTTTTCTTTTATTTCGTGAATTAGCTCATGCATAGCCATGTTTAGAAAGATGACCAAAAAAATTTAATTTAAAAATTGGCGTTCGTATTCGGGTCACTGTACAGATCATCGTAGATATGCCGCTCTAATCTTGACGCCAAATTGCCACCAGAAATACATCACATTTAGTTAATGAAACGCGCTTTTCGGAATTACCGTGTTAGGTGTCCACTGCCCCCCTTCCTTCTGTTGCTTCAACCTTGTTCACAAAGCGTGCATTGTATATAAAGGCCTAATTTTTTTAACTACGGCACATTAGCTGAGGTGAAATTAAGACCACTGCCATAAGCCATCAAGTGCTTTCGCCTTTTGAAAAATTAAAAGGCGGCTTTGCAACAGCGTTGCTAAGCAGGGGTGAAGTGCACAGCTTGATGGCCTTTTGTGTTTCTTCTTACGCTTATTCTTTCATTGAACTCTCTACTTTCTCTCTTTCTCTATTTTTTAGTGCTTTCAGTCTCTTCCTATATATAATAGTTTTGTTGTCTTTAAATATATTTTTCTTTCTCTCTCTCTTCTTCTTGCTGCCTCTCTATTTATCTTCCCATCTATCTTTCGCCATTAATTATGGTCCCTCCCTTTCGCTTTATTTACCTCTTTCCTTCAACGCTATGTTTTACCCTACCTCGCCCTTTTCTATTTCTCCCCGTCACTCTCAGTTCCCTTTCTCGACAACTTGCGATAATACTGCTTATACAAGGCCATGTTGTGCTCTGCTAGGGTGCCTGGATAACAGATTTCTAAAGATACTCTCCTTGGGGTCATGAGTACGCATGTTCGGATCCCGCTGCTTCAAAAAAACGTTTTGCCAAAGGTTTCTCTCTGTCCCTTTTTGTTTTCTTTTTTTCTGACTCGCCTTTTCTATTGGTTCTCTTCCTATCCGAATCATTGCGTCTCATGCCGAAAAAAATAAATGCACGTGTTCCGGAAGCAATGTGGAACAATAAAAATATAAGATAACGTGTGTGGGTTCGTTTTGTCTCTAAGCGAAACCACAAAAGGAAAAGCTTACCAGCGACTCTAAAATACAATAGTACAATAAAAATAGAAATCTTGGCTATATACAATTACACGTGGGCCTGTTCTGTTGTGGCGGCCCCGAAACATTGTTTAGCGTGTGATTATGAAATGTCCCCAAAAATGAAGAGGCAAAAGGGAGTTTTATTATAAAATATTGTTAGATATCTCCTGCCCCAACAACAAACTGCTGTCCGTTAAATTAGGTAACAAAAAATCTTTAAGGGGGCGCAAAATAGATAACCAATTTTTCACGTACTAGTGAAGTACACAGAGGCTGAAACACCACTTATAACGCAAAGTGACTTTCATGAGCAGGAAAAAGCGCGAGAAGAAAATGGCGATGGAGGCAATGCCTTGGGAATCCCCCACTAAACACCGTGAGGTGATATATTTTCCAGACATGTACTGGGTTCTTGCGTAGCTTCTAATCGATAAAAAACAAATACATCGCTACAAACCTAGCATACAGAGTTTCAGAAGATCTCGTAGAGCTTGTGTTGCGACAATACGAAAAATACATTTCTAAATTCGGGGCTTCACGCGCGGTGATTTCGGCACAAGGTTTATAAACGAAACTTGAACGTAAATTTTTTCCGTTACTCAAGAATTTAGGACAGTGAAACTTGCGACATTAGACATATTGCGACATATTGCAGTAATGCTACATTTTGTACTCATCACTAAATGCACTACTTGCTTTGCTCTGTTTGATTTCATGCAAGCAAAGCTTGTGAATAAAAATTGCTGGTAAATGAGCACAGTTGCAGAGACTTCGCTTATATAAATATTGGTAAACTTGAGTTTGATCTAGTGTCTAAGGCTGTACTGGCTACTATAATAGATTTAGTCCTGAGTGCTCACTGTTTCCATGCGATAAACGAAGGTCTACGTTGAAAACAGCTTAACTGCCGTGACAGCAGTTCTTCCTTCCTTCCTAACGTACTCACAAGTTGTAAACAAATTTTTGCAGCGCTTTCACCTCAGTGCAACAGAAAATATATATGTAGGTGGGCAGGGAGAAATAAATCAAAAGCCCGGTACGGCCCCATTGTTGTGTGTGGCGACTTTTTGTGAGGCCGGCTGTCGGTATGTGTAGCCAAATGTTTTTTGTCGACAGGCGGCACTTCAGCTTGAAGTTTTGTTTGTCTTGCTAGCCCTGTTTCTGAGGGGTCTGTAATTTACGGTCTCCACTGTGCCTCTCCACCAAGCGAGGTGAAAGACACTCGGGTCAACGAGGAGCGAAAAAAGAAGTCGGGTCATTCTCGCGGGCGACATGAAAACGATGCTTCAGATCATTTACTCTGTTCTTGAGCATCTTGTTGCTTAGGTAACTCATTTTTCTATTTCTTTCACCGCGGCCAACTTGCTAATGATGTAGGGAAAATCTGCATGGTGGAGTGGCGCCGAAGGTACTTTGAGCAACGCAAAGCTTCAAAGCTTTGGCTTAGCTCTGCGAAGATTGAAAAATAGACAAAAAAGTAGAACAATAGTACTACCGGAACCGCTGCGTGGCACTATTACAAAGAAAGAGCGTTAACATGGAATCCTAACGTAGTGCTGTAAAAGGATTGTAACGCGTAAACCAGTGAGCACATGTTTTCCAACGCGTTAGGTGCACGCGACGGATTGAAAGAATGCTTTTTTTTTCGTGCGAACTGAAGAGAGTGTGTACAGGTGGAGCTCAAATGGAGATGACTTATGACGTAAAAAACAGTACGAGAAGTAGAAACTCAAAGAAGACCACACATGTCACTCTTTGCATAGATGCCTTTCTAAGAGAAAAAGTTGTGACCTTAGATTTTTCGAGCTAGTGTGATTAGGTACCCAGAAAAAGCTGGGACGACTCACTTTATCTATCTATCTATCTATCTATCTATCTATCTATCTATCTATCTATCTATCTATCTATCTATCTATCTATCTATCTATCTATCTATCTATCTATCTATCTATCTATCTGTATGTTTGCTTGTGCTTATCTTTAAATATTGAGGTAATACTTACTACTCCTACTACAAGTGGTACTAGCAATATTTATTATTATTATTATTATTATTATTATATTAGCGCTATTTTTTAGACTGGCTACGGAAACGCAGCAAGCGAGCACCGAAAAATTATGTATAAAAAAGTGAATATAAAATTCCGAGGAATAGAGTGTCACTCTTTCAAGATGCACGAAAAAGCGGTATATTTCGTAACGATTCAACCAAGAGTACGAAAGTCCGCCAAAAGCGTGGGCTTTGATAATTATTCATCGAGGAAAAAAGATCATGCCAGTTGATTTACTCAAACCGTTTCCAGTTTATTCACTTTTTCGCGGGTTTTGCTAAAATGCACATGCCCAGAAACGCCCGTGCACGCTTAAAGGAACTGTTCCTGTATCTGTTTATTTGCCCACGCTCTCGAGGGAAGACATTTATTTTCAATTTTTGTCGAAATAAGCAACCAAGACTCGATAGGTTAGCTGCGGCTGTGCTCTCACGAAATTTTTACGTATTGCCAGAAATGCTCCTCTTCATGTTAATTGGATTTTTAACCAGTAAATCAATTTTCGACAAAACGGCAATGACTAACCAATTGTTTAGAGCAGGAAAAAAAGATATAGAAGTTTACAGGGACATTTCTTCTTTGCTATCTTCTCCCAGGTATACTAACAATTTTCTTTATAGTATCGCGTTCTTCTTACTTAAACTTTCGCAACTAACACGCCAGAATTTTGGTTTCTTTGGTAATCGCTGTGCTATAACATTATTAGAAGTGTTTAGCGAAGAAATATATTCGGCTGTAGACAAGAGCCTGTTCAGATGTGCTCTGTGTTGAGATATGGCAAGAGCGTTCGAAACTGTAAACCATAGTGTTTTGTTAGAAAAACAATTTTGTTTGAGCTTCAGGTCTTTTTATGATTTTTTTATAATTACCTACTGAACAGGTTACAGGTAATTAAAGCTTATAGGGAAGTAATTAAA